GTGTGAGTGAGAGAGAGAGAGAGAGAGAGAGAGAGAGAGAGAGAGAGAGAGAGAGAGAGAGAGAGAGAGAGAGAGAGACGGGAGGGTTCTTACCAAGTACCCCTGGCTGAGCTAGAACTCCTTATGTAGACAATACTAAACTTGAACTAGCAGAAATCTGTGTGGTGCTGCCACCCAAGTGCTGGGATTAAAGGTCATTCCTGGCAAGTGCTGAAGCACTTTGGGCATGGAAGTTACTAAAATATACGTGTACTTTGTCAGGATGAAACTCAAGGATGAACCAGGGGGCAGAGCGAATCCTCAAGACAGAAATGGCTTGAAGCACACCCTTCAGAAAGTCTGACTGGGACACTGATCAGCAAGCATTAGATATGAGCTAGGCAGAGGCAGAGTTGGATGGAGAGGTCCCAGAGCAGGGTGGCTTCAGGAAGATGGATGTATAGCTTAGGGTGACAGCCTTGGTGAGAGCTGCATGGAGAGGTGGAGAGAGAGAGAGACATGCAACTTGATGCTCACAGGTTGGCATCATGGACCCCAATGGAGGACGGAGACTGGGTTTAGAGTTATAGACATGGTTGTCCTGAACGCTGATGGAATGTGCCTCTAGAGTTCTGCACTGGGACTGTCGGGGCTAAATTAGGACTGAAGAGGTGACTTTGAGGGTCCCTTGTCTGGGAAGTTACCAGAGAATGTGGGGTACAGCAGAGTGGGAAGACTATGAAGAAGGTACTATTTAGGGTCCTGGAAGGGACCCTAAGTCAGAAGAAGGGAGAACAAAGTTGGGCGGGTGCAAGCCACAGCATGCCAAGAGAGCAGTTCCCGCTGTGTCAATGCAGGTTTGCCTCTGAGGCTTGTGAATGGAGGTCACCGGTGTCAGGGCCGGGTGGAGGTCCTGTACCAAGGCTACTGGGGCACCGTGTGTGACGACAGCTGGGACACCCAGGATGCAGATGTCGTCTGTCGGCAGCTCGGCTGTGGCCATTCTGTATCAGCACCTGGAGGGGCCCACTTTGGTCAGGGCTCAGGGGACATTCTCATGGGAGCTGTGTACTGCTCAGGACAGGAACCCTACCTGTCCAGCTGTCAGCATGATGGGTGGTACAACCATGACTGTGGCCACAGGGAAGACGCCGGAGTCGTGTGTTCAGGTAGTGCTGCTGTTGCTTCTAGACATTGCATGCACACTCTTAGGCAACACCGTGCTTCTGTGTGTACGTGTGTATGTGTGCTTGTATGTGCACAGCACGTGGCTACTTACTTGCTTTGCTGTGAGTCATGCCTTAATTGATGTTAGAGGCTGCATACATCAGTCTCTCTTCATAGACGAAGCTACTGAGGCTCAGAGTGTCACAGGCTGGGAAGTGGTGTAGACAGGCTTTATCCCATCAGAGCTCTCTGATACTATCACTCTGAGGAGTGGCATCAATATCATCCTTGACCCAAAAGGTCAGTTTCTCTTTCTTTAAAGGCAGTAGCTGATGAGGCAATTGCTGGTCATTTACCTAAATGTCCAAACCAAATTCAAAGCAAAGAGTGGCCAATATGTTCTCTTTATTGGCTATTAAATGACAAGCAAAAACACACTAACAGGAGGATGACAAATTCTCCCTGATCCAACCAACAAATCCTAAGACATTATATCTCATTGACTATAAGATGTTGGTAACAATTCAAATACCAAGGCATCCTTTAATCTACAAAGAAACCACCCAGTAAACCAGTCTACTGTGTGTCCCCCAAGAGGATTTGCTAGTTTAGCTACCAATAGACAGTTGTTTTGAGCACATGTCACGACAAGCATTGTGTGACTATGGTGATCCAAACACCACCTGAGGATTGTGCTTGAAGGAGCATGTTCCTCCAAGCAGCCACTTTGTGAGAAGATTTATTCTGCCATTCTGAAATAATCTCTGGAACTCTCCTCTCTTTCTAGTTGGGGCCACCTTCTCTGGAATATTTTAGTGATGGCAATGTTTATAATGAGAGGTTGTGTTTGAACTACAGAAACAACCAAATGCCTTTTGAATTCAAATGTCATCTGGCTGTTTCTTGTCTTGTGCCTAGGATGGGGCTGCTAATGAACTTGGTGGTGGTTGGAATGGAGTAGAAGCAGAGGAGATGAATGAGGGTGAGGGACAAGAGATGCTTGTGGTGACATCTCAGTGTCAACGTAACAAAAGGACAGTGTCAGATTCTACAAGGAAAAGTCTCATAATTTCAGTGATGGAAGGTTTTAGCATGTGAAATGCCAGCTCCAGTTTCTGAGATTCAAGCGAGGACCAACATCCAATGAATTCTTGCTTTCTCATTCTGCAGATGTTATATATGAAACTGAAGAAACTACAGCAGTGTCCACAGAAGGTAAGATGTATTATGTGGTAATTCTGTGGCGTTATTGTCCCCAGAACCCACAGACTCACCTCTGATCCAGACGACGGGCAGAAGGCAGAGTATGTGGGTCCTAGGTTCCCATGGGAAATTTCCCAATAAGGCTTCAAGCCTGCATGGGCATATATGCCTTGGATTATGTCCCTGAGATGTCGGTGGGGATCTTCCTGAAGAGGTATCTACAAAGGGTCCAAGGTGGTCTTGTTTCTAGGAGTTTGTTGACCATTCTCAGAGCCCTGAGGTCCCTATGTTTCACACTGCACCTTAGCTAGCCTAGACAGCTGACTCTGGCTTTAGTTCATGGAGAGGAAGACAAAGTCTGCTTAGCCAGTGCCTTTGTCATTTCCTTCCCTCTGAGGTCATTGAAAGATCCGATAGAAGCCCTGATTCTCCACCCTAGACATCACAGATCCTGCCCTTACTCTTTGAGTTTCCCAGTGAGAGCTGCTGGCAGCACATCAGAACAGTTTAGGTTCTGTCAGCCTGAGCTTTGGGAAGAAAAACCACTCCCTTTTATCCATGAGATTTATTGATCCTAAGTCATCAGCAAGAACAATCTCCACACCAAGGCCTCTGGCCAGTCCAGGATTTCTTGGGACCCCAAATGTCCCATAGGTCAGGCATTACTCTTCCTTAGGCATGTGAGGTATCCCAAGAATGAGACTGGCTTTATTCTGACTTAACCATATTCTACCTTTACTTATTTGTAACAACTATACAGGGAAACTCCATTTTCTCCTCTGTGCTGGTGGCCTTACAGGACACTCTTAGGTGGCAGAAAATCCTCTAGGATTTATAGGTACTATGATGCAACTGTTTCAGTCAGATTGAAGGGCAAGAGATGATTGGACAAGGCTTTGACACAGTCCTGCAGAAGAGCATTTTCCTAGAGCTGTTGGTAGCAGGATCTACTGTAGGGAGACACTGTAGCCCCTCCTCCTAGTGACCTGGGCAGGTGTGCCAGAACAGGTGAGGGATTGATAAGGAGAAGTCTAAGGTGACAGTAGGAAGGCTTCTTAAGGGACCACGGACACGTGGACCTTCCCTTCTTGCCCTTCTCCCTGCTCCCTCCTCCTCTCACTGGCCTTGCAGCCCAGGCACGCTTTGGCCTGCGCTTGGCTGGTGTATCTGAATAAAGAAACCTTAGCCCTATTGACTGCTGATTGATCACTCCACAAACTACCATGTGGGGAGAGGACAACTTCTGCCTTACCCATGTTACTCAATAGAAGCTGGGTATTTGGTAGCAATGTGTTCATCTCCACATTCTCCACTCTAAGCTGCAGGACCATGTCACATTTTGAGGTAGCCTGAGCAAGAACCAGGGCACATTTTGAACATTTATTACATATAAGTTTGACGCTTGTATCTTATTGAAAAGGGGCATATAAGAAGCATTTCCACAAAAAATAAAACGTTTGAGCTATTCATGGTCACACTTACACACACACACAAACACACACACACTCACAGACTATTCTAGCACTCAGGAGGTTGAGTTAGGAAGGTCTTGAGTTTTAGTGCAGCTTAGGGTACATAACAACAATATTGAATATCAAAAATGTATTCACATAAAAAACAAGGCAACAGTTGTTTCAATCCTCTGCTAGTGAATATAATATTGGGTATATCAGCCAATGCAGTTAGATAAGAACAATGAATTAGTTTTGTAAGTATGGGAAACACTTTTGGATTGATTTCTCCGAATTCAGTACAAGTCAAATGTAAGCATTAGTGTTAGCGTCTGTAGCTTAACAGCATTTTCTACAAAAATGCCTTTCAGAATGGCAGAACTCAAGACTATAGAGATTTCTTATGCATGTCAAGTCACATAGCATTACCCAGTACAGTCCCTGAATTACATCCCATCAGCAGATTTAACTGTACTTGCATGTCCTGGTTTTTTATCAACAGAGAATTAACTTTGTATTTTTTATTTTCCTCTCTCATCTATATATGGACTGCAGAGGCAAGCACTCCAGAGCCTACTACCACTCCAGAGCCTACTACCACTCCAGAGCCTACTACCACTCCAGAGCCTACTACCACTCCAGAGCCTACTACCACTCCAGAGCCTACTACCACTCCAGAGCCTACTACCACTCCAGAGCCGACCACATATATGCCAATAGGTAACAAAACTCTATAAACCTTTCTGTGTCAGTTTCAATTCCAGTGTCATTCATGGTGTTGACTTCTTGGGACACTTCAGGGGCTGGGTGGTATTGTCTCCTGATCCACGGGACTGTCTTCCACTGCAATCCTTGTCACTGCCCATTTCTTTGTGTGTGGAGGAGTCAGTCATGGGGTGGGATTGGTTTCAAATTCCATGATCTCTAGATGTAGTATTGTGTCAGAAGGAACTTTGGGGTTAGACAATCAAGATAAGAAAAGCTGCCAGAGAGATTTCCGTAGCAAACAGAGAGTGATGATATATTATGGGATCCCATTCAGAGTCCCTTCAAAGGGGTGCCCTGCCTAGAGAGCAAGAGGCTTAGCCCAGTGCAAAACCCATGCAGACCTTTGTCTTGTTTAAACTGTTGGGTAATTGAACCTTGACTTCAGTGATAAATTCACATCAGTGGTCTTGGTGAGCAGCAGTGACAAAGCCTGGGGATCTCCAGTGTGCTGTTACTGTACACAGAAAGTGAGCACATGGAGGCAGTCGCCTGACCCAGCTCAGTGGGGTGAACAGTAGCTTCTACTCATGCTCACTATTTTTCTGTTGGACCTTCAAATTCAGTTCTGATATAAACTCTCCACTTTGTCTGGGTAAGCAGCTGGTGACAGCCTTTGCTGGGACCCATGAACTTCCCTCCTACCAGGGAGTTCATCATTCTGTCCCTTTGGTCTGTCACAGAACCACCTCCTCTACCTTGTCCTTTTCTAATGGGTCTGAAGTGTGGGTCAGGGTGGGTCTGGATGTGCCCTGTGCAGTCTGTGTGTCAGGAGTTGTTTACTTTCCCTCCTGGAAACACCTGGATTGTGCAGTGTATGTTGTCATCTAGAAGAGTGCATGGCACTCAAAGGCCTTAGTTACAAGATGCAGAGGGGACTTGGCCACCATCCTGGGCAGATGCAAACCATGTCGACACTCTCTGTGGAAACCTGTCCTTCCTGGTGACAAACTCACCTTTGATGTCTAGAACAGAAGTAGTGAGCATTCCAATGAGGATTCAAAGGCAAAGTGACAGGGGGTAAATGTCTTTCCAAGACAGGGTGCCCAAGAAGCAAGGGTGGGAGGCGTTTACAGTACATATATCGTTAAACCCAATGAAAGAGCTGCCCATGAATGCACAAGCTCCATTATTCACACAGGACCTACAAAGTTTAATCCACTTTGTCTTTCAGGGTCAGATCCTGGTTTGGCTCTGAGGCTGGTGAATGGAGGAGACAGGTGTCAGGGTCGTGTGGAGATCCTTTACCAGGGTTCCTGGGGCACCGTGTGTGACGATAGCTGGGACATCAATGATGCCAATGTGGTTTGTAGGCAGCTGGGCTGTGGCTGGGCCATGTCTGCCCCAACAAATGCCATGTTTGGACAGGGCTCAGGGCCCATTGTCCTGGATAATGTGGCTTGCAGAGGACATGAGTACAATCTGTGGAGCTGCTCCCACGCAGGCTGGCTCTCCCATAACTGTGGACACCATGAGGATGCTGGAGTCGTCTGCTCAGGTATGACCCAGAGACTACTAGATTTTGCTTCCAACAATGGGGTTTTGTTAGACCACTTCTTCCTGTCTACAGAGCATCATTTAGGCTCCAATTATACAGGGACTCATTCTGCATTGTTTGGTTTTTCTCACTCACAGCCCTGTCCATAGTTTGCATAGCTATTTGAAAACTCTAGACTTTCCTTGGGTGGGTGACCCTGGAGGTCCTAAGTTAGGATCCTAATTTGAAGATATAGCAGTGTTATTACCCATTGCCTCCTTCAAGCAGTACTATATTGTTTGGAAGTACATGGGTACTTTTTTCAAGATTTAGCATCCAGCACACCAAGGATAAAAACAATAAGCCTTTATTGTAGGTGAGGAACTTTTACTTGGAAAATCCACTTGACTCAAATCCCCATGGTCCCCAACATCCTTCACATAGGTAGAAACTTTGGAGGGCAAAATTGGTGAAGCCTTCCACACTCCATCTCACAGACATTTCTGGTTAGCTCTAGTCATTTTAGGTCAGCCCAGTATCTAATCCAGGTGTGGGTCAGGGTGGGTCTGGATGTGCCCTGTGCAGTCTGTGTGTCAGGAGTTGGAGGGCTCTGTTTACTTTCTCTCCTGGAAACACCTGGATTGTGCAGTGTATGTTGTCATCTAGAAGAGTGCATGGCACTCCAAGGCCTTAGTTACAAGATGGAGAAGGTACTTGGCCACCATCCTGGGCAGATTCAAACCATGTCGACACTCTTTGTGGAAACCTGTCCTTCCTGGTGACAAACTCACCTTTAATGTCTAGAACAGAAGTAGTGAGCATTCCAATGAGGATTCAAAGGCAAAGTGACAGGGGGTAAATGTCTTTCCAAGACAGGGTGCCCAAGAAGCAAGGGTGGGAGGCGTTTACAGTACATATATCGTTAAACCCAATGAAAGAGCTGCCCATGAATGCACAAGCTCCATTATTCACACAGGACCTACAAAGTTTAATCCACTTTGTCTTTCAGGGTCAGATCCTGGTTTGGCTCTGAGGCTGGTGAATGGAGGAGACAGGTGTCAGGGTCGTGTGGAGATCCTTTACCAGGGTTCCTGGGGCACCGTGTGTGACGATAGCTGGGACATCAATGATGCCAATGTGGTTTGTAGGCAGCTGGGCTGTGGCTGGGCCATGTCTGCCCCAACAAATGCCATGTTTGGACAGGGCTCAGGGCCCATTGTCCTGGATAATGTGGCTTGCAGAGGACATGAGTACAATCTGTGGAGCTGCTCCCACGCAGGCTGGCTCTCCCATAACTGTGGACACCATGAGGATGCTGGAGTCGTCTGCTCAGGTATGACCCAGAGACTACTAGATTTTGCTTCCAACAATGGGGTTTTGTTAGACCACTTCTTCCTGTCTACAGAGCATCATTTAGGCTCCAATTATACAGGGACTCATTCTGCATTGTTTGGTTTTTCTCACTCACAGCCCTGTCCATAGTTTGCATAGCTATTTGAAAACTCTAGACTTTCCTTGGGTGGGTGACCCTGGAGGTCCTAAGTTAGGATCCTAATTTGAAGATATAGCAGTGTTATTACCCATTGCCTCCTTCAAGCAGTACTATATTGTTTGGAAGTACATGGGTACTTTTTTCAAGATTTAGCATCCAGCACACCAAGGATAAAAACAATAAGCCTTTATTGTAGGTGAGGAACTTTTACTTGGAAAATCCACTTGACTCAAATCCCCATGGTCCCCAACATCCTTCACATAGGTAGAAACTTTGGAGGGCAAAATTGGTGAAGCCTTCCACACTCCATCTCACAGACATTTCTGGTTAGCTCTAGTCATTTTAGGTCAGCCCAGTATCTAATCTAAAGTCAATGACTCATTTACTATCAATGGCAGGTATAGGAAAGAATGAGTGAGGTATAGATTATGGCAGGGTGGTAACATACATTGTTTTAATGAGTCAGCCATGAAGAATACATGTTGGAACACAAGCAAGGCTGACCACACTTTTCCAACATTATTCTCCTAACCCATAGATAGTGGGTCTTCAACAGCTCATCACTGAGACTGGCTTTTGGTTAATTACCTATATGGAAATGAAAATAATTTTGTTGCCTGTTTCATGGGTAGGCATTATTTTCTTATTCCAGATAATGAGTTCTAGGCACTGAGATCAAGACCTTGATTTTGGGATTCCAAGTTGGGCTCTATGAATGTGTCTAGGATCTTGGTTACCTTGAGGATGTGCAGAACATGAGCTCTTTCTGTAAAAACATGGTCTCTATCCCACTTGTCACTGCAGGTGAGGTCCTCTTCTCAGTGTCTAACCTCCCTTCTTTCTTACAGAGGTCCTAATCTGGTCCACACCTAAGCCCAATAAATCTCAGCATCTTGATCTGGTAGATGCATATTCTTTGGAATCTCATTTTGGGGGCATATTCTCTTTTATTGGCACTCTAATATTCAGAAGGCGATTTCTTGTCCCCAAGCCAAGTTTGCACAAAGTATTTGATTAAGTCCCAGCTCAAACGTTTTTAACTAAAATAAAAATTCATTCATAGGATGAACTCTGGCCCTTTCCTATTAAAGACCTATCTGCAAATCTGTGTGGGGATTCTCTGGCCTTCTGTAGAGGTGTCAGCGTTTTCTAAGCCACTCTCTCCTGTTCCTATAAAACCCTGTCTTGTATATGCTACACATGGTCATCTCTCTACTCCCTAACAAAGTGAGGAAGATGCTATGGGTTAAGAAATGTTTTGTGATTCTACTGGCCAGGAAAATCATTCTTCTATGTTTTGTTTGGCCATTTGGCTTTTTCCCCACTCCTTGTCCAAGACGGGTCTGTGGTGTCACATGTACCTGTAGAATACCAGGGTCCCCAAATGTACACACAGCTTCTTAGAGAAAAAATATCTTGGGCTGAGAGATGTGGAGGAACAGTCTGATGTCCTGCAAGGATACATTCCTTGGATGAGAGTCTGGGTTGGACTCTGGTTCTTAAGTCACGAGTGCAACCCTTGAATGGGTTTTGCCTGGGTGGAGGATAGCTTTTGGTGTCATTTGCCTCCCAATCTAACATTCACTTTTCTTTTTGTTGTCAATTTGTGACATATGGCCTACTACTACCCCAGATATTCCAACTGGTAATGTGTCTTCAGGCTCCCCATGTCTCCAGATGAAACCATGTTAAGCTAATAAAAGGATGAAGGTTCAGGAGTTTCCTGTCTGACCCATGATCCTTATGAGTTTGATCTAGGTGTGGTTACACGTCCCCAATTCTAGCACTCAGGAGGCTGAGTTAGGAGGATCTTGAGTTTCAGTGTAGCCTAGGGCACATACAGAGATACTGAATTTAAAAAATATTCACGTACAAAACCAAGGCAAACAGGTGTTCCTACCCTATGCTAGTGAATATAATACTGGGTATATCAGCCAACGCAGTTAGATAAGAACAATGAATTAGTTTTGTAAGTATGGGAAACACTTTTGGATTGATTTCTCCGAATTCAGTACAAGTCAAATGTAAGCATTAGTGTTAGCGTCTGTAGCTTAACAGCATTTTCTACAAAAATGCCTTTCAGAATGGCAGAACTCAAGACTATAGAGATTTCTTATGCATCTCAAGTCACATAGCATTACCCAGTACAGTCCCTGAATTACATCCCATCAGCAGATTTAACTGTACTTGCATGTCCTGGTTTTTTATCAACTGAGAATTAACTTTGTTTTTTTTTTATTTTTTATTTTCCTCTCTCATCTATATATGGACTGCAGAGGCAAGCACTCCAGAGCCTACTACCACTCCAGAGCCTACTACCACTCCAGAGCCTACTACCACTCCAGAGCCTACTACCACTCCAGAGCCTACTACCACTCCAGAGCCTACTACCACTCCAGAGCCTACTACCACTCCAGAGCCTACTACCACTCCAGAGCCTACTACCACTCCAGAGCCTACTACCACTCCAGAGCCTACTACCACTCCAGAGCCTACTACCACTCCAGAGCCTACTACCACTCCAGAGCCTACTACCACTCCAGAGCCGACCACATATATACCAATAGGTAACAAAACTCTATAAACCTTTCTGTGTCAGTTTCAATTCCAGTGTCATTCATGGTGTTGACTTCTTGGGACACTTTAGAGGCTGTGTTGTATTGTCTCCTGATCCATGGGACTTTTCTCCACAGCAATCCTTGTCACTGCCCATTTCTTTGTGTGTGGAGGAGTCAGTCATGGGGTGGGATTGGTTTCAAATTCCATGATCTCTAGATGTAGTATTGTGTCAGAAGGAACTTTGGGGTTAGACAATCAAGATAAGAAAAGCTGCCAGAGAGATTTCCGTAGCAAACAGAGAGTGATGATATATTATGGGATCCCATTCAGAGTCCCTTCAAAGGGGTGCCCTGCCTAGAGAGCAAGAGACTTAGCCCAGTGCAAAACCCATGCAGACCTTTGTCTTGTTTAAACTGTTGGGTAATTGAACCTTGACTTCAGTGATAAATTCACATCAGTGGTCTTGGTGAGCAGCAGTGACAAAGCCTGGGGATCTCCAGTGTGCTGTTACTGTACACAGAAAGTGAGCTCCTGGAGGCAGTCGCCTGACCCAGCTCAGTGGGGTGAACAGTAGCTTCTACTCATGCTCACTATTTTTCTGTTGGACCTTCAAATTCAGTTCTGATATAAACTCTCCACTTTGTCTGGGTAAGCAGCTGGTGACAGCCTTTGCCGGGACCCATGAACTTCCCTCCTACCAGGGAGTTCATCATTCTGTCCCTTTGGTCTGTCACAGAACCAACTCCTCTACCTTGTCCTTTTCTGATGGCAAGTGTGGGTCTGGGTGGGTCTGGATGTGCCCTGTGCAGTCTGTGTGTCAGGAGTTGGAGGGCTCTGTTTACTCTCCCTCCTGGAAACACCTGGATTTTTCAGTGTATGTAGAAGAGTGCATGGCACTCCAAGGCCTTAGGTACAAGATGGAGAGGGTACTTGGCCACCATCCTGGGAAGATTCAAACCATGTCGACACTCTTTGTGGAAACCTGTCCTTCCTGGTGACAAACTCACCTTTGATGTCTAGAACAGAAGTAGTGAGCATTCCAATGAGGATTCAAAGGCAAAGTGACAGGGGGTAAATGTCTTTCCAAGACAGGGTGCCCAAGAAGCAAGGGTGGGAGGCGTTTACAGTACAACATGGCACTCCAAGGCCTTAGGTACAAGATGGAGAGGGTACTTGGCCACCATCCTGGGAAGATTCAAACCATGTCGACACTCTTTGTGGAAACCTGTCCTTCCTGGTGACAAACTCACCTTTGATGTCTAGAACAGAAGTAGTGAGCATTCCAATGAGGATTCAAAGGCAAAGTGACAGGGGGTAAATGTCTTTCCAAGACAGGGTGCCCAAGAAGCAACGGGCGTTTACAGTACATATATCGTTAAACCCAATGAAAGGGCTGCCCATGAATGCACAAGCTCCATTATTCACACAGGACCTACAAAGTTTAATCCACTTTGTCTTTCAGGGTCAGATCCTGGTTTGGCTCTGAGGCTGGTGAATGGAGGAGACAGGTGTCAGGGTCGTGTGGAGATCCTTTACCAGGGTTCCTGGGGCACCGTGTGTGACGATAGCTGGGACATCAATGATGCCAATGTGGTTTGTAGGCAGCTGGGCTGTGGCTGGGCCATGTCTGCCCCAACAAATGCCATGTTTGGACAGGGCTCAGGGCCCATTGTCCTGGATAATGTGGCTTGCAGAGGACATGAGTACAATCTGTGGAGCTGCTCCCACGCAGGCTGGCTCTCCCATAACTGTGGACACCATGAGGATGCTGGAGTCGTCTGCTCAGGTATGACCCAGAGACTACTAGATTTTGCTTCCAACAATGGGGTTTTGTTAGACCACTTCTTCCTGTCTACAGAGCATCATTTAGGCTCCTCCAATTATACAGGGACTCATTCTGCATTGTTTGGTTTTTCTCACTCAGCCCTGTCCATAGTTTGCACAGCTATTTGAAAGCTCTAGATTTTCCTTGGGTGGGTGACCCTGGAGTTCCTAAGTTAGGATCCTAATATGAAGAAATACCAGTATCATTACCCATTGTCTCCTTCAAATAGTACTGTATGTTTGCACAGCTATTTGAAAGCTCTAGATTTTCCTTGGTTGGGTGACCCTGGAGTTCCTAAGTTAGGATCCTAATTTGAAGAAATACCAGTATCATTACCCATTGTCTCCTTCAAATAGTACTGTATTGTTTGGAAGTACATGGATATTGTTTTCAAGATTTAGCATCTAGCAAACCAAGGGTAAAAATAATAAGCTATCATTGTAGGTGAGGAATATCCTCTTTACTGAAATCCCTTTTGTCCCTGACACCCTTCCCATAGGTAAAACCTTTGGAGGACAGGCTTGGTGCAGCTTTCCACTCTCCTTCATGTCATAGACATTTCTGGTTAGCTCTAGTCATTTTAGGTCAGCCCAGTATCTAATCTAAAGTCAATGACTCATTTACTATCACTGGAAGTAGGAAAGAGTGAGTGAGTGAGTGTGGTATAGTTATGTCTGGGTTGATATATATATATGAGCCTGCCATGAAGAGTACATTTTGGAACACAAGCAAGGTACCATACTTTTCCAATAGCATTTCCTAACCTGAGGGTAGATCAGTGGGTCTTTAACAGCTCATCACTGAGACTGGTTGATTATGTACATGGAATTGAAAATCATTTTGTTGCCTGTTTCAGGGTAACCATTACTTTTTTTCCAGATATTGAGTTTTAGGCACCAAGATCCAGATCTTGCCTGTGGGGTTCTGGGTTGGGTGCTATGACTTGTATCCAGGATTCAGGTTACACTGAATTCCTTCTTTCTTACAGATGCCCAATACCAAAGCACACCCAATCCCGGTAAGTTCAACATCTCAATCTGGAAGATTCCTATTCTTGGGAATCCCATTTTGGGGGCACATTCTTTTTTCCTGGCATGTTAGTATTTAGTATTTTCTTGGCACTTTCTTGTCCCAAACCCAAGTTTGCACAAAGTATTTGAGAGATTCCTGGCTCAAACATTTGTAACTGAAGTAAAAATTCATTCATGCGATGAACTCTGGCCTTTCAGCATTCAAGATTTATCTACAAATCTATGTGGTGATCTCTGGCCTTCTGTAGAGGTGTCCGCATTGTCTAAGTCACTCTCTCCTGTTTTTATAAAACCGTATCTCCTATCTGCTTTGTGGTCACCTCCCTACTCCCTACCAAAATGATGAAGATGCTATGGGTTAAGAAACGTTTTGTGTTTCTACTGGCCATGAAGAACAATTCTTATATAAACTACACTCTGTTGCCTTTGGCCACTTGACTCTTTCCCACTCTTTATCTAAGTCTGGGCCATGGTGTCACATGTACCTGTCCATGGAGGAACAGTCTGATGTTCTGCAAGCACCTGTTCCTTGGATGAGAATCTGGGTTGATCCTGGTTCATAAATCATAAGTGCAACTCTTGAATGGATTCTGCATGGGTGGAGGATAGCTTTTGGTGTCATTTGCCTCCCAATATAAGTTTAACTTTTCTTTTTGTTGTCAATTTCAGACACATGGTCTACTCCTACCCAAGATATTACAACAGGTAACATGTCTTCTTACAGTTGTCAGACTTCCCACATGTTTCTGGATAAAACTTTGCTATGCTTGCTCATAAAGGGATAAAGGTGAAGGAGTTTCCTGTCTGACTCTTGATCCTTTCTGTTTGGCAGTATAGATAGGAGTTTCACACATGGCTGAGTTGATGATCTGTTATTGGTAAGGAATGCTTAATCTGTTCACAGCCACAATCAGCAGCGGCAGAATGGTGGGACTCTTAGGAGTCTTTCAGCCCCCAAACCTTCAGCATTCTCCATAAAGAGGCAGTTTCTGTTGACCCAAATATCACCATAGCTTGTCTCAGTGGGATAAAGGAGTGGCAGCACTCACTGGATTTTGCTACACTTCACTCTCCTGGTGAAATCATTAGCTACAGAGACCCTTTACCATGCTATTCGTCTAAAAAGCTGTATCGCATGTAAGAGCCATGTGACATAGAACAGGAGAGACCATTACTGTCATGATCCTAAGGAATAGATGGCATGATTCTTTTACTAAGCAACTGTCATTCAGGACAAAGTTACAGTGGCCTTGGTGCCCTGGGCTAATTCATTGTTGCAGTGATGGTCGACAAGAGTATGTCCAAGGCTACCACATGCTCTCAAGGAAAGAACTCTCTTTTTCTTAGCTGTCCAGTCTTCTACTCTTCCCAGCAATGGTGTCTTGGCCCAACTTTGTTGCACATGTCTTCCTTCTAATCCAGTTTTGTTTTCTTCTCCAGATTGGCCCCAAACTACTACTCCTTACTATGGTAAGCTTGGGGGGAGAGCACAGCATATCTGTAAGCACTTCAAACAAGAGTTTGATGAAAGACAGGAGTTCTGGGATCTTCTTGAATTTTGTATTGGAGGATAGCTCAGGAAGACAAGGAGAAAGAAAGGAACTGAGAACAAAGTACAGTAGTTTGTGTTGAGGCATGCCATCTTCTGCCTGTCTCAGTGACATAAAATTTGCCCCACGTCATCCATTTTTCGAAACTTCACTTCCCTGGTGAATCATTTGCTATGAAGGTCATTTTCTATGATATTTGTCTAGAAAGTATTATGTCTTGCAAGAGTCATGTGACTTGGTGACAGCAGAGTTTTTTGTTCTTGTCATATCCTTATGGCAAAGATGGCATGATGTTTTTACCAAGTAAATGTCATTAGGGAATAAAATATAGTTGACCTGGACCCTGAGCCAGCTCCTGGTCACTATGATGGACATACATGAGCATGGTCAGGGCCAGCAATGCTCTCAAGGGAAGGATTCTTTTTTGTTCAGCCACAGTGCTTCTGTGTCCAATGATTTCCACTTGAACAAACTTTGTGCACAGGCCTACTTTCTAATCCAGCTTTATTTTCTCTCCAGATTGGTTTGACACATCTCCTTCCCCTGGTAAGTGTGGAGTGAGATCAAAGCATAGTTTTAAACATTTCAAACAAGAGGTTAGAGAAAGACAGAAATTCTAGAATCTATGTAAATCTTGGGTGGAGCACAGCTCAGGAAGACAAGGGTAAAGAAAGGAATTAGGAAGAGGGCATATCTTTGTACACCCCCAATGATTCATGTTGTCCCCAAAATTCATCTCCTATTTAACCCATCCTAGAATCAATGGATAGACTTAATAAGAGCCCTAATGGGACTTGGGGATGGACTCATGGGGTTGGAATCATGAGCAGGATTCCAGGTTTTTAATATGTTCCCACTGGTGCACACCTTCTATTCCAGAAAATGATAGCTTTGCAGGAAGACAAGGGCCCTGGAACAGATAGAAATAGGTGTAGAGTTCAGAGTGCTTCTTCCAGATTGTCTCTGTTCTGCAGAGAGACTGAAGCCCACACCAGCAAACACACAGGCATATGAAATAAACCCTAAGATAGCTGATAGCTCGATGAAATTTTATGTCCATGGTGCAGAAATACTGCACCACCAGTCCAAGGGCTCTCAGAACCACCATCATCTGGCAGCAGGGAGTCATAAGTATAGGGGACACCTCACTGGTTTTGATGGACTTCAGTAAGATGGCCATTCCTGTCACCCATCCAATACCCAACCTGCACCTACCTCTACAAGAAAAACCACCTGGGAGGGTGTCCTCCATGGTCAGAGCTAGGTTACCTCTTGCTGGGTTCCTCCCTTGGATATTGTGTCAAACATTTCTCTTCCTGCCAGGCAGCTCTGAGGTGTGTACTGGGGTCCATCAGCATTTCTATTCCCTTTCCTTCCAGTAAACTACACCTGTGGAAGTTACCTGACAGGGTACTATGGGAACTTTTCCAGTCCCTTCTACCCTGGGAATTATCCTAACAATGCCAGATGTGAGTGGAACATTGTGGTCCCAACCAACAACCGTGTGACCTTGAACTTCAGAGATGTGCAGTAAGTGTGGGATGACAGCAGATGAGGAGAGAGAATGTGGGGTGCTTGGAAATTTAGGGGGCAATAGTCAATGTGACTTTTAAAAGAGGGGTTCCCTTTTGACTTGTCATGAGAGTAGCCCACGGAGGGTGGGATGGTGGCAAGTTAAAAATACTCTGGCTAAATCCCAGGGTATCCTGAATTTTCTGCATGGCGATGAGATGCCACTCTCCTAAGCCTCAGTCAGAAGAAGGGACTAGGACACCTGCTTTTCTCCTCTTGTTGAACGGGAAGTCATCAGAGAATGTGGAAACATATGGAACTGTTAGTCATTGGGAGGGCCCGTTTGGGGCTTGGGTACTGACATCCTTGGGGGTTCAATGGGACAGTGCTGCCAATAAAGGGCCTATTCAGTGCAAAGCTGTCCCCACAGCTCTCTCTCATTCCAACAGGCACTAGGAGCCAGTTTCAAGTGCAATCCCCTGACTTGTGGAGGGTGCCAGCATTGGACTGAGCTGTGTCCCAGGTCCTCTCTGGTGACTGTCTGTGGTAGCTTCGAAGTCCCTGCTCCAGTTTCACATATGCTTTAGTATCAGTGTCCTTGTAGGACAATGCAAACACTGCTCCTGAAGCTCATCAGGTTGTGGGCACAAAGGCTGGTCAGTCCGGTTCTCTTCAGCACCTCATTGATAGGAACCCACATGCAGTGACACTTTATGAATACTTCTGTGTAATACACACTGTGTCATCATGGCTTTACCACAGGCCTTTTCAGTGGACAGCAATCAGTGCTCATTATTATAGATGAGAAACCCAATGGCTAGGGAGGTGCAGTGACTTGACTTATGTTTGCAAGGATTGTTTATTTTATGTGTGTGAGTGTTTGTCTGTATCTATGTCTGTGATTCGAATGCCTGCCTGGTGGCCACAGAGGTCAGAAGATGGTGTTTAATCCACTGGTTATGGAATGACTGTTGGTTCTGATCTTCTTTGTATATGCTGGGAATCAAACCTTATTCTTCTAGGAGAAAAACCAGGGAATTTAACGAGTGAACCATTTCCCTAGCTCCTGACTCTGGTTTATCTCCCCTTTACTTGTTTTTTAATTCAAAGTTATTTGTTTATATGCAGAAAATGAGTGGGGGGGTCTTTGAAGCAATAGATTAGACTTTTCTCTGGTGACCTTCCTCTGTTAGTATAAAGGTGTCATAGAGAGTTATTATAGATTACACATCTGTAATCCTAAAGTCATCATATCTTGGAGAGCAAGCATGAGAGTCTTGGGAAGATGGACATATTCCCCTAGGATTCCAGGAAGCCATCTACCCTTTCAGACAATGTGTCTTGTCAGTGTGATCAGGACATTGATCCCTGTGGTGTGAGCCCCACATCAAATTCCAGACACAGAGATGCTATTGATTCTGTCTACTCAGGCTTGAAGGAGGCTGCAGCTATGACTACATCCTGCTTTATGATGGCCCTGCATACAGTTCTTCTCTCATTGCTCGGGTTTGTGATGGAGTCAATGGAACTTTCACCTCGACAGGGAAATTCATGTCTGTAGTCTTCATCACCGATGGCAGTGTCACCAGGAGAGGGTTCCTGGCTTACTACCAAGCTACCTATTTCACTCACACCAGTAAGTTCCCTTGTGATAATGAATGTCCATTTGTGTTTGTGGGTGTCACTAGGAGCCTCTGAACCAAAACTTTCGTGGGTTTGTGACATAAAGAATAGCATGGCCTCACTGGGTACCATGCTTGTCTCCTATGGAGAGATACTGTGTCCAGTGAATCTTGGGCTTTTGCTGCTGGAAGATGGTTGAGGTCTGTCTCACTGTCTGATGGGAGGTACTCTGGCTTCAGAGTCATCATCAGAAAATGAAAAGGTCTAAGATGATTCTTCAACAGATGGCCTGTTCTCAGTTTCAGGAGTAGGTTGACACCAGGTGTGAAACTTTGTGAGTCTTCCCAAGTGTGGGGTACTGTCCATGTCCTGTCTGAAGGACAGATTAGGACATATGAAGATGGACAGAACATCCTATCAGAGGTCATGAGCCCTGAATCATAGACAGTTTGTAGATCTGTGAGTCTGATGATTAAGGCTGTGGCATATGATATCCAAGGTTGCTTATGTAGTGAGGGGCAGAGACACTGACTTTGTCCTTAGCTTAATTCCCTACTTCAGGTGGCTGCTAGTCTTTGACCTTGGAGTTACTTTACTTCAGGGCATAATGTTCATTTGACAAAACACTTTGCTTGTTTAAAGTCTTGTCTCTGCATCCCCACCAGAGAATCCTTAGTTCAGGTTCCCTCACTGGGTTTTCAGAAGGTGTGTGTCTGTGTCCAGTTCTTTCAGGTACTGGGGTAATTTCTGTATTCATGTCTATAAATCCTCCATGTCTGTGCCTCAAGTCCAGTGTGGGTGGGACTGTCCTGTCAAGCCTGAGTGATCCAGTGTAAGACCTGGACCTGGTTAGTTACCCCTAAGTCACTGGACAGATAGAAATCACAGGACCCATCATGTCAATACACCCAGAGCAGTTCTTACCTTGAAGTGGGAGCAGAGTGGGCTCTTAGGACCCCCTGGGTAGCATCTTCCTGGTCGTCTCTACTATAGCCATCTCTACTCTGAGGCAGCAGATGAGTACAACCCAGTGTCTGGTCTGCTCAGTGTCATGAACCCAGGGCCAGGCTAGGCACCTTCTGTTCAAGGACACTGACATGGCTTCTTTTTCTCACAGCTGTTCCACCGCCATTCCCAGTCACTCCAGGTGAGTCCAGATCTCCTTCAATGCTTGTTTCCCCTGTCCCTATTCTGCTCACAGCCACAGAAACTGCTGGAGAATGGGTGGGACCCTTCAGAATTCTGTGGGCACCTGATCCTTCAGACTTCTTTATAAACTAGAGTTGTGATTTCTGTAGATCCAAAGTTACCCTCTGCTCTCTTATGGCATAACAAAGTTGCAACACTTAATCTATTTTTCTAAGCTTCACTATCCTGGAGAAACCATTTTCTATAGAGACCATTTCCTATGGTATTTCTCTAGAGAGCACTATCTTTGCAAGTGTCAAGTGACATGGGACTGCAGAGACTGTTCTTATCAAATTACTCTGTGGTATAGATGGCATTATTCTTTTACCAAGTATTGTTTGTTATTTATGAAAATGTTATCATTGGGCTAGGTTCTGGTCCATCTCACCCTCAATAGCCTGAACACTGGAGAGCATGTCTCTTGTCACCACAGGCTCTCAAGGGAAGGACTTCCTTTTTCTCTGCTTCAGTGTTTCTCTGTGCATTCTCTTCCCAGCAAAGTTGACCCATCTTTGATGCACAGGTCTTCTTTCTAATCCAGTTTTGTTTTCCTCTCCATATTGGTGGAAACAACAACGGCTTACTATGGTAAGCATGGCTTGCAGCACTCAACCAATAGTTTGGAAAGAGACAGGAATTCTGGGATATGCTTGAATTCTGTGGTGAAACACAGCTCATAATGACAAAGAGAAAGAACTGAATTGAGAACAAAGGACAGTGTTTTCTGTTGATCCAGTGCCACCCTCTTTCTGTATCAGTGACATAAAATTTGCCCCACTTATCCCATTTTGCTAAACTTCACTTCCCTGTTGAATCATTTGCTATGGAGGTCATTTTCTATGACAGTTGTTAGAAAGCATTATGTGTTGCAAGGGCCATGTGACATGGTGACAGTAGAGTTTGTTCCTGTCATATGGTTATGGTATAGATGGCATGATCCTTTTACCAAGCAAATATTATTTAGAAATAAGCTAGAGTTGCCTTGGGACCATGAGCCAGCTTTTTCACTAAGATGGACATATGTGAGCATGGTCAGGGCTACCCTATGCTCTCAAGAAAGGAACTTTCTTTTCCTCAGCCACAGTGCTTCTGTGTCCAATGATTTCCATTTGACCAAACTTTGTACACAGGCCTTCTTTCTAATCCAGCTTTGTTTTCTCTCCAGATTGGTGGATAACAACAACTCCTTACAATGGTAAGCTTGGGGTGTGACAAAAGCATGCCTTTAAGCACTTCAACTAAATGGCTAGAGAGAGATCAGAATTCTGGGATATTTTTGATGACTGTGGTGGAGCACACCTCATGAAGGCAAGGAAAACAAAGGAATTAGGAAGAGGGCACATCTTTCCTGTATAAATCCCCAGTGATCCACTATGTCCCTAGACTCCATCTCCTATTTAATCCAGCACATAACCAATGAACAGAATTTGCAAGAGCCCTCAGGATGCAATCATAGGTTTGGGCTCATGAGTGGGACTGCAGTCTTAATATGTACCCACTGATGGACACTTCGTGTTCTTTCAGAACATGATAGCATTGCAAGACCGGGGTCCTGATATTGGTGAGTCAGAACAGGTAGAAATAGGTGTAGAGTCCATAGTGCTTCCTCCAGATTTTCTCTGTTCTGCAGAGAGATTGAAGCCTATTCCAGCAAACACATAGGCATCTGAGATAAGCCCTGAGATAGATATTAATGGTGTTAATTATACCTGAATATCCCTTTTATCTCCTCACTGGGTAGAAGAATCAAGGAGAAAAGCACTGGCTTCAGTATTTCTTTTCTCATGGTTGAGTTTAGTGGGGAGAGAGGGAGATGCAGTCTAGAGAGTGAGAAAGATACCATGTTGCTGGACATACCCCAGTTCAAAGTGTTCTGCTGGACATTTTATGTCTAAGCCATAATGCTATCTCTGAAAGAAGGATGCAGCCTTGTACTCCATGAATCAGGAAAGGTAGACAGCTGTAGAGTCATGTTCATTGCTCTAGATGTCTCCATTCATCAGAGAGATCCAACCCTCACCAGCAAATTCACACATCATTGGAAAAAAAACCCTGAGATGGGTCTAAGAATCCCTTTGCATCCAGAGTTCATGTACCATGCACAGGTCCAAGTGGTCTATTCCCCACCATTTTCTGTCAGTCAGTGAAAGAAAGGGTGTATGAGCTTAACCAGTAAACTCCAGGTTCAATGAGAGACCTTGTCTAAAAACACACATCTGAGTTATGTATACATGCCCAACTACACACACACACACACACACACACACACACACACACACACACACACACACACACACACACACACGGACACGGACACAGACATACACAGAGACACAAAGACATACAGACACACACAGACACACACACAGACATATATACATACAGAGACAGACACACAGACATATATACATACAGAGACAGACACACAGACATATATACATACAGAGACAGACACACAGACATATATACATACAGAGACAGACACACAGACATATATACATACAGAGACAGACACACAGACATATATACATACAGAGACAGACACACAGACATATATACATACAGAGACAGACACACAGACATATATACATAAAGAAACAGACACACACATACACAGACAGACATACACAGAGACACAAAGACACACAGACACACACACACACACACAGACATATATACACACACAGACATACACACAGACATATACACACACAGAGACACAGACACAGATACATACACAGAAACAGACACACACATAGACACAGACATACAGACACAGACACACACACACACACAGAGACACAGGCACACACAGAGAGACAGATAAACACAGAAAGACAAACACACAGACACATACACACAGAGACACAGATAAACACACAGACAGACAGATAGCCACACACACACACACACACATACACAGACAGACATACACAGAGACACAAAGACACTTTTATTGGGTTCCCCACTTTGAAATTATGTCAAACTCCCTCCTCCTGCCAGGCAGCTGTGTGGTATGTTCTGGGGTTCATCAGCATTTCCACTCTTTCCTGACAGCAAGCTTTACCTGTGGAGGCTTCCTGACCCAACCCTTTGGGAACTTTTCCAGTCCATTCTACCCTGGGAATTATCCTAACAATGCAAGATGTGTGTGGAACATTGAGGCCCCAAACAACTACCGTGTGACCTTAGTCTTCAGAGATGTACAGTAAGTGTGTGTGCAGAGCAGATGTTAGAGAGAGAATGTGGGGTGCTTGGAAAATCAGGGGTGATAGTCAAGCTGATATTTAAAATAAGGGTTTCAGTTTTGATTTGGAAAGTGGCTCACGGAGGGTGGTGGGATGGGAGCAAGGGGACAGGAATTTTCGAACATTGTGACTTAAAGTCCCAGGTTGTCCTGAATTTACTACATGGCCATCGGTGCCACTCTCCTAAGCCTCGGTCAGAAGAAGGAGCTAGAACTCTGCTTTTCTCATCTTGTTTATCAGGAGGTCACCAGAGAATGTGAAAATACTTGGAAGTGTTTGCAGTGGGTGGGGTGGGGAGGCTTGTGTCTTGGGAGTACAATATACAAGTGTACCCCTTTCCTCATTTGCCCCTTCCTTTCTGTGAGTCCTCAGGAGCCACCATGCTAATGCTATTGATTGATATGGCAGAGTTTCCATCACTCATATGCTTACAAATGAAAATGTCCTTGAGCAGAGGAGATGCCTACAAAAGCCCAGTAATATATGCTTCATTCTGGGAGGACAGTGGCCCAGCTAGCCAAGAAACTCTACCTGTATTCTTTAGCACCCCTGTATTCTTTAGTGTCCACTGCTTGTGAACTTTCATGAGCTATTTTTTTCCCCATGCAGAGCTCCTTGTGGACACCACCACCACCCTCTTCACTCTACATAGTACACAGTGTTCATCTTTGTAGATAAGAAACCTGGTCATTAGAGAGCTTCAGTGTTCATTTCTTTCATTATTCATCTCTGTCACTATGAATTCATTGATTATTTGTTTTATTCTGGAAAGAACAAATCAGGATGTTCTCTGGTGACCTTCCTTTGTTGATATAAAGGACTGTCAGGGAGAAAGACTGTAGACCTTATAGATGTGACCTTAGATGGCAGTAGGAAGACATGGCATGATGGCCTTACAAGATGAATTCCCCTGGATTTAAAGCAGTCACCTGTTCTCTCAAATAGTAACCTTCCATGAGACCCGAGCCCTCATCCGAGTCTGGGCAGTAGAGAACTTAACTGTCTGTTTTGTCTTTTCAGGCTTGAAGCAGGTTGCAGCTTTGATTATATTGAGATTTTTGATGGCCCCCACCACAGTTCTCCTCTCATTGCTCGGGTTTGTGATGGGGCCAGGGGCTCTTTCACTTCAACATCCAACTTCATGTCAGTTCGCTTCATCAGTGATCACATGATTACTCAAAGGGGGTTCCAGGCTGAGTACTACACGGACTTTGCCAATAACATCACCAGTAAGTTCCCTTGTCAGAACAAAGACTTGGTAGAACTGGGGACATCACTGGGAGCCTTCTTATCCTGTACTGTCCTGGGATGGTAACATAAAACATTAGAACCCCCCAACTTTGGCCTCTATGATTGATTTCCTGTATTGCCAATTGAGAGAGCTGTGTGCAGTGAGTCCTAGGTCTCTGGACATCCCAAATAGGGTCAAGGGCCAGCACTGGCTGATGAGAGTTGTTCTGGTTTTAGTGTGGTGGCAAAGAATAAGAAAGTATAAGATGATGTTCTCAATAGCTACTGAGAAGACAATGCCAGAGGAGTTGTGGGTGACACCAGGTTTGCAACTCTTAGAGTGTGAGTCACTGGCCATGTCCTGAGACCTAACACATTTGGCTTCTATCTGAAGATGGATAGAGCTGGGTACCTTAACATGGGAAGCTACTCTAACAGAGGCTATATTATAGGCCCCAAATTGAGATGCTGCATGAACCCATATCTACATTGGTTAAGGGTTGAGCAAGGTGATATCCAAGGTCTATTATTCAGCCAGGAGCAAAGGCATTAACTTTCTCCTTAGCTAAAGGATCTTACCTAATAACATTACTATTATCTTATTGTACAATTGTTTTACTTCATAGCATAATGCTAATTTGACAAAATGTTTCAGGTATTTAAAATGCTGTCTCTGGTTCCATACCAGAATATCCTAAAAGTCCAAGAGCTCTCATTGTGCTTTTTGAGGATGATCCTGACTGTAGCCATAGGGTACCTGTGTGGCCATTGTGACTCTTGTGAGCGTACATATCATGTGTGGACCATGTGCATCAGCCATCATGATCTGTGTATTTTTACATGGGAAAAGACACTCATAAGGGCTGTGAGGTTTGGAATCCTGACTTAGAGTATCCTCTGCTCTTGTCCTTCAGGTCTCCTTTGTTTGTCAAATCACATGCAAGCCAGTGTTAGCAGGAGCTACCTTCAGTCCATGGGCTATTCTGCCAGTGATCTTGGCATTCCTGGTTGGAATTCAAGCTACCGGTGCCGGCCACAGATAACACAGAGGCAGATCACATTCACAATTCCCTACACAGGCTGTGGCACTACCAAACAGGTAAGCCTGGCACCACCCACTCTATTGAGAATGCTTTCTTTTTTCAAAAATTTACTTTGTGTGTGTATATGAATGAATATATGTGTTAGTGTGTGTGAGTATGTGTATGAGTGTGTGTGTGTGTGTGTGTGTGTGTGTGTGTGTGTGTGTTAGCATGTCACTGCATGCATTTGGAGGTCAAAAGACAACTTGTGCCAGTTGGTTTTTTCCTTTGACCACGTGAATTCTAGGAATAGAACTCAGCCTCTTAGGCTTGGCAACAAGTTCCTTTACCCACTGAGCCATCTCACCAGCCCTGAGTGTGCTTTATCACAGTGATATATGTGCTGCTTCTAGAACCCTAGGGATCCAGAAGCTATGCCTGTGATATAATCAGAGCATAATTCATGTGCAGGGAAACAGGAGCTTCTGGTATAGTAGCCAGAGCTGCTTCCAAATAGGAGGGATAAGGAGGTGGAAACAAGGAAGCCTGGCAGTTTCCACAGCTGTGTCCAGCAGAAAGGACAACCAGGACGACTCCACTCACATAGCTCCCAGGAGAAGCTCTGGATTTTTCAGAATCTGAGGCTTCTACAGTTTCATTTGGGGGTGGGAGAAGGAAGCAGAAGCCCCCTAAACCAAAGATACAAGAACACCTTACTTTCCTGAGTTCTAAAGGAGCAAATGGCTGTCAAACACCTTGCAATGACTCTGAGGAAGCCAGGGAACTACTGAGTTTCACACACTTGGTTGCCACAGTTAACATTTCTTGAGTGGCCAATAGCAAGGGTGGCCAGCCTTTTGACATTGTACCATGACATCATCATCTACAAAATTCATGCTGTAGTACTGTGTGTTGACTTACAAAAGCATGTACCTCCCTCAGTGTTTTGAGTAGTGTGGCCCATGGACTGTCATGTGTTGGATGTGACTAATTGAGTGATTACCTGTTTGGATTTGCCTGATACTTGGCAGATTTTAGTACAGACTGTCCCATATCTCAGGGAAACACCAGTCTTGGGCAAGCTGGGACCGTTGTCATTCTGTCAGTGGAAGATGCTATGATGAGTCTGTGTTGTACTTCCAAAGTTTTTATTTTATTTTATTATTTTTTTGAGACAAGATTTCACTATGTAGTTCTTGCTAGCTATGTAGACCAGACTGGCTTTGATCTCTCAGTATTGTGGGAAATTACCAATATGGAGTCAGGTGGAAATATAAGGGTATTTAATAGGGAAAAGCCTTACTTACAGAGCGACCCAGCCAGCTGGTGTGGTAGAGGTCTGTACAGCAAGAAGAAAAGAGAAACCGAAACCGAAAATGCAGTCCCACTACGTCACTCTGACCATACCCTCACAAGCCTGGTCAGGCACACCTGTAGCCAGCCCCTAAGAAGGCGTGGCTACAGCTTTCCCTACATCTCAGAGATCTGCCTACCTCTGCCTCTTGAGTGCTGGGATTAAAGACTTGCACTACCATGCCTGGCTACTCCCAAATTCTTAACAAGTATTCTTGTATTGTCACCCCACTTTCGAAGTGAGGATACTGACTTAAGAGAGATCAAGCCCATTGTCCAAGGCCTCTTAGTCCCAGGTGGGGCAGGACTGACAACAGAAGCCAAGAATCTCAGAAACATTCTGAGAAAAAGCCAGACACAGAAGGGCTATGCAAAAATTATAAGTCTATTACTATTAGATAAAAATGTCCATTCATACTAAATTTTAAAAAAAGAGAATGCCTATGCAACGGGGAAAAGGCTATCATGGGTGACCTGTTTCTAAGGTGGGAGGACGTAGCTTTAAAGGCAGGATGGGGATGCTTGAACAATAGAAAAGTGGTGTGTCTTACTACCCAGGTATACACAGGACATACATGTTCAGATACCTATAAAATTTTCAAGGTCATGTTCATACAACAGACACATGACAAGCATTTGCCACATGCCAGGCCCTGTGTCAAGTGCTAAGGAGAAACTCCTTCCCAGTCCTCCAACACACAGTAGAGACAGAGAGGAAGCAGACATTTAGCTAGTCTACCAGGTGGGTCTTGGCCATTTATGGCTGTGTGTGAGAACCTGGTCACACAGATCTCTTGGTAAGACTCTACACACAGGAGTACCCTCTGAGAGGAATTTGGTGGATGAGCTGAGCTACTCATGGGGAGGAATGCGTATCACTCAGGCCAAGGAGGTGGCTTCTTTAACCCATATCCAAGACTTTATAGTAGTGTAAACTATATTGTATCCTCAGGCATTGAATTAAGACTTCTACATGGCTTTTAAAGGTCTCAGCATGTCTTTATCCTACTTACTCACAGGATATAAAGGCTTAGAGAAGCTGAGCCATGTGCCCAAGGTCACATGTTCATGAATTGTGGAGTCAGTTTGCTCTGTAGCAGGAACTGTTCATAGCTTGGCAAGGTGGCCACACCGTGAGAGGGTAATTTGTTGGCTGGTGTCATGGAACAGATGAACTTTCTCACATGTTTAGACATGCTTGGACATCACTCTTTCCTTAAGATGCTCACAGGCCCCAGGTGTAAAGCTTCTGGCATGGCAGCTTTCAGAGATGATAGACATTAAATGGTACAAGGCAACAGCCTCCTTATGAGTTTGCTGCTCAGTGAAAGTCCCAGTAGTGAATAGTTCCATAGTACAATGTGTTGAGGTAGGAATGACCTCAGGGTTGCCGTAGCCCCATTCAGTTGTTCATGTGAGGCTCTGGGGAAGTCTCAACCTTAGGATTGGAGACTGCTTTGGTTATAGCTGGATCTCGTGGCCTCCAGCTTCCAATGTGTAAATCAGCACAATGAAGAAGTCACTAGTCACTCAAAATCGAAAGCATTCCACACTGATATTACCAGGCCCCTCTCATGAGTATGAGACCAGCTGCCCTGAGACCCCAGTGATGGAGATAATAGGCTCAGAACACCCTGCTGAGTCCTGAACCATGGAGTCTGAGCTTGGTCAGACACACTGCAGGCCAACAGCCATCCAGGCATCCCCATCTTGCCACAAGGAAGAGCAACAAGTACAGATGATCACAGCCTACATCACCATTCGTCAAGGAATGTGGGAGAGTTGGGGGACATTTGGCTGGCTAAGCTGACATCCATCCTAGGTAATAGCAGCCACAAAGCAGACCTCGTATGATTCTGCAATAGTCTCTCTGAGTCCTTACCCTCTCACTCTAACCCTAACCAGTGCTGACCCTAACTGATCTGCTTTCCTCTGTTAAGACTGACCAAGAGACCATCAACTACTCCAACTTCCTCAAAGCAGCTGTTTCGAACGGCATCATCAAAAGGAAGAAGGACCTCCACATCCACGTGAGCTGCAAGATGCTTCAGAACACCTGGGTCAACACCGTGTACATCACCAATGACACCGTCCAGATCCAAGAAGTCCAGTACGGCAATTTCGATGTGAACATCTCCTTTTATTCATCCTCCTCCTTCTTGTATCCAGTGACCAGCAGCCCGTACTATGTGGATCTGGACCAGAACTTGTACCTTCAGGCTGAAATCCTCCATTCTGATGCTTCTTTAGCCTTGTTTGTGGACACCTGTGTGGCTTCGCCATACCCCACTGACTTCTCATCTTTGACATATGACCTCATCCGGAGTGGGTAAGGACTTGTCCATGGGACAGATGAAAACTTTTGACTTACATCTCACACATGAGTAGCCAAAACAGGGTCAGGAATGCAGATTTTTTTTTTTTTTTTTTTTTTGGCTAACTGAACTTGCCAGGTTTCAAGCTTAGATAGCTTTCTACATGAGGCTTTTGCCTTTTGAGGAGCCTTCATGCTATTTACTGGGTCACATTCCTGATAAAGGGAACAGGTTATTAGGCATCCTTGTTACATGTGAGAATAGAGGAATGACTTACCAATGATCACTCAACTGGATGCCTACAAACAGGTTAGATCTCCAGTCACCAAACTTAGAGTTAAAAACATGAACATGTCATGGGAAACTTACTGATTTGAGAACAGACCTAAACTAAAGAACATAAATCTCTGGGTCAGTTTCTGCACCACAAGCCAACTGGAGATAGTGGCAAGGTTAAAGGAAAAAGGGTGATGGACCCCGAGAACACAGCAGAGCCAGAAAGTGACCCAGGCGGTTATTGCACTATAGGTGCGGATGACCTCACATCCTCCGACTGCTAGGATTGCAAATTCTCCATCATGGCTCAGGACATGTTGAGGTTGAGGTGACCCAGGCGGTTATGCACTATAGGTGCGGATGACCTCACATCCTCTGTCTGCTAGGATTGCAAATTCTCCATCATGGCTCAGGACATGTTGAGGTTGATTTGATGGAGACCAGGTCGGCTGCCCTGATCTCTGCTCCAGCTTCCCAAGAGGAGGATGAGGAGGAAGAGGAGGAGGAGGAGGAGGAGGAGGAGGAGGGATGATTCTGCATTCTTGGAGGATTCGGCTGCCCTGATCTCTGCTCCAAGAGGAGGATGAGGAGGAAGAGGAGGAGGAGGAGGAGGAGGAGGAGGAGGGATGATTCTGCATTCTTGGAGGAGGCCTGACATGTTGGGTGTGCAAATCCAGTCTCCACTGTAATCTCTGCCAGCTGGCATGATACTTCTTGGCTTCTAGTATGGCGTTTGACACCTGAATAGCCATTGTCTCCCATGGGAAGTTATACTTCTCAGGGTAAGGAGAGCTGGTAGTAATTAGGGCAGAGGGCTTAAACCTCATACCAACCTGGGATGCCAAAGACAGCCTCACTTCCTAGGAACTGTTTGGATATGAACTCAGTAAACAGAGATTGGGCATCTTTTGTCCAACCTGTACAGTGGATTCATGTTAACACTGCCCCACTGGAAACACAGCAAACACAGGAGAAAACTTACCTAGACCCCTCTTGCTCTCAGTAGTAACCTAGTAGTGTCTGAGTGGAGTGGAATGACTGAAATGAATACAAACCAGAGAGTGGGTGCCAAAGAGCTCTTGATTATGAAGACATTCTGCCATATTTGTGGCAATGCCATTTGTGATGACAACTGGGCCTGAAGCATAGGGACTCACTAGCTACACCCTGGTCCTCAACAGTAACATCTATGTAGAGGCCCCTAAGAATAAACTGCCAATGGGTAGTGAAATTCTGGCCTGTACAGCATCCCCTCCCCCCAGTTCTTTCCAGTCCCCACCTCTGAACAAACCTCTAGGTACCCTTTCACTTGGAATGCTAATAGGGCTGCAGGAAAGAAAAGGATTCTGGGTATTTCAGGGCAGTTGCATCAAAGGTAGAAACAGGAAGGAAGCTCTAGGAGGAAGGTGGAAGAGGGTGAGCCGACATGGAACAATCTTCTGGAACAGGGACAGCCAGGCTGCCCTGGGGCAGTCCACCTAAGAAGCATTCTATTCGAAAGGCCAGGCCAGTTTTTCTTTCTTCTTTCTCACTCACCACTTAGGCCTCACTATTATTAATGCACATGGATTGTCCCCTGCAGACAGCCTCATCTTTTTCTCAATGGAATTCCTGAAGCAGATTGGCTGATAGTTTCCTTCTATCACCAGCAGAGAAAGGTACCTAAAGGAAGAGGAAGTGCTGGATACTGGAGCAGAGTTTTAGAGAACTGCCAACATGGATGTGTAGTTGCCCCTGGGCAGGCTAGGCCTGGTGGGGGGTTCCGCAGAAAGGCCCTAGGAGACAAGGCTCAGGGACCATGGAAAATGTTGATGCCACTGTTTGAAGCCCAGTGACCAGGAAAGGGAAGAAAAGAACATCTCCTTTCCTGTCCTGACTCTGGCTTGCTCTTGGATTCCAAACTTGAGCTCCCCTGCAGTCAGGATGACTGCAGAGTGCAAGGGGATTAAGGTAAGACCACGCCTCAGCAGGCTAAGCTGTTCCTCTCCTTCCTTCCAGATGCGTAAGAGATGAAACTTACCAACTCTACTCCTCGCCGTCACCACGCATCGCCCGCTTTAAATTCAGTTCCTTCCACTTCCTGAACCGCTTCCCATCAGTGTATCTGCAGTGTAAACTGGTGGTGTGCAGAGCATACGATGCTTCTTCTCGGTGCAACAGAGGCTGTGTGGTGAGGTCCAAGAGGGATGTAGGCGCCTACCAAGAAAAGGTGGACGTTGTCCTGGGACCCATCCAGTTGCAATCTCCCAGCAAAGATAAGAGGAACTTGGGTAGGTGGTTACGCTCAGATCCTGCCTACCATTGGGGTCCATGATTTTGGTCGATTTGGGATATTTTTGTCTGGGCTATGGACCAACTCAACCTGCAAGCCAATTAATGAATTAGGCCTGGTTGCTGCCTTCCCCCAAGACTCAAGGTCACCTGTGGTTCATAGGCAAAGGAGGTGTGACCTGGAAGGCTTGATTCTCTGGGTTTGGAGATCCCAGAATCCTTATCTATAGGGTGAGAGGGCTAACGTCTCTTAAGACTGTGAAGAGGGCTTGTTAAAGCAATGTTCCTTAAACTGCTTTGGTCCTTGTCTGGTGCATATCACTGGGTGTTTGATGAATGTACTAGTTTTTGTTGTTAACATAATTAATAGGAATATTGTCCTTCATCATGGTGGTAACAGGTGTTTTGAATTCACCATCTGGGTGTGGCATGGAAATACAGGCAGCATGAATTGGTTTTGACTTGGGGAGAGTCTGGCACTAAATTTTAACTCCTCACCTAGAGCAGGTGGTAGGTGTGATTTCTGCCATGTTGTTTTGTTGTGGACATGGACTAAGAAATTTCCAGGATAGGACTTCTGGCCTAGGCTGACGTCAGGTAGCGAGATATAATGGCCATGGTGACAGGGGCAGAAATGGGTTTGGCATATTGTCACAAACCTACCCCTAGATCAGGGTATCACCATGACCCTCTGGGAACCATCTGTGAGAGCTTTCTATCCTCATGCCCCACAGTAGGTTGGTCCCCACACCAAACTGATTCTAGACTCTCATTCATTCATTGCATGTTTACCAAAGGCCTATTGTATGGCAGGAGGCAAATAAACAGGTATAGGTAGGGCAGACATTGTGCTCAGTTGGTGCCTCCATTTGAGGTGGAGCCATGTAGAAAAGCATAGTGGGCAAAGCGAAGAGGCTGGTGGTGCCCAATACCTGTTTTCCATTTATGCCTGAAGTCACCACAGTAGCTCAGGTCCTGGATTCCTTTTACCTGGGACTCTTGTCACCATTTCCCAGCTGGCTTAAATGCCACAGCTCTCTCCCTTCCCACTCATTTACAGACCCAATCCAGAACTGTTCTCCCAAAGCCCAGGTCTGAGTTCCTGTGAAGATCCTCCCCTAACTCCTCTGGCTAGCAAGACAATGGGGAGTAAATCCCTCTAGCCCAACACTCAGCTGCCTCCTGGAGGCTAGCCTCAGTTTCCCCTTCTCCCATTTCCTTATCCCTCCTCACTGAAAAGTTCTGACAAGGACTACCCAGTTCCTTGTCTCTGCAGCCAGTCTCTGACCTGTGTCCTATCTCCCTCCGTCATCTCACTCTCTTTTCTTCCTCAGACTTGGCAGTGAAGGATGAGGAGAAGCCAGCTAGTGCCCAGGCAGTCTATCCCACTGCTGCCGTCTTTGGTGGAATCTTCCTGGCGATGGTCGTAGCTGTGGCAGCCTTCACACTGGGAAGAAAGACACGTGTTGCCCATGGCCAACCTCCAAGCACTAAGATGTGAAGCAAAGCACACCCAGACATTGGCTTCTCATTCACAGATTCCCAGAAAGGATGGAAGACACAAGCATGTGATGCTCAGCACTCAGATACAGCGTGGCTGGGTTTCCCTTAGTGCAGATGCATGGCAGAGTATGATGAGATGGCAGAGAAGAAAGGTGGGGGCCAAGTTCCCCCAGCGTCTGCAGGCTGAAGGCTGGGAAGACTGTCATAGGAAAATGAGACCACTGTCTACCACCCCACACAACTGTGAGCAGCTGTGATTTCTCTAGCTAGTTCCCCTTTCCATCTTTTATAGATGACTTTCTCCACCTGTAGTGTCAGTCTCAATCTGCCCTCATAATGAGGCAAACTAAATAAAGACTTGTTCTCAAGGCAAGTGTTCGCTTGGTCATTGTCTGCAAAGGCTTACCCACATGTTGGCTTCCCTCGAGTGAGACAGTCATGGTGACTTGGCAACAGAAATGATAAAAGGCCAAGAGGCTCTGCTTTGTGGCTTCCAAAACCTTCAAGAGTAAGATCATGTTTATGCCTACAAGACTCTTTATATATCCATTTGTGACACAATGTTCAGAGCTATGGCTTGGGAAGGGCTTGGAGGAGGGTACAGATGCCTAGGACAGGAGTCGTGTTTGCATGAAGTCTCCTGGGAGAAGTGTGACAAGTGATCGATGAAGATAAATGAATGTAGCAGGTTTCAAGGAGGCAGTGAATTAATGAAGTAGATGGTGGGACCCAAGCCCCTGGGTATGTCAGGAGCGGGGTTCAGACCCCAGCAGGCAGCTGCTAGGATGGTCCTAACTATGAACATGTTGCTAGAGTTAGGTGAGATTCACTCCCCTCCCCCGAGGACAAAAGGCCAGAGAAGTCCAGCAGAGACTCGGGCATAGCTGCCAGCTCTGACCAGAGATGACTGAGAACTGCCCATCACCAGCTGGGATAGCAGTGGTGGGGGGTGCAGGTGTGGGGACAGATCCATGAGCCCTTCCAACATGAAGAGGAGCTAGGAGACCAGTGCATATCTTGCCAGTTTTCATTCTCCTGGCTTTCATCACCCACAACTATGCCAAAGGCTGGAGACATCAAGGGAAAGTCCTGATGGGTCACACTGTATGGGCAAACCTGGAAAACATTGGCTACAGTGAAATGTAGACTCCAGCCTGTGGCTAGATCTGAACAGATGTGGACTTGTGTAGAGCCCTGTGCCTCTATGATAGGTGACATCCTCAAGGGAATGACAGGCACATAGTGGGTAAAAGAACAGGACACATCAAATCTGTTTTGAGCTGTGTCTTGCACCTTTCTGGGTCAGAGCTTGCCTTCCAGTCCCTTCCAAGCATCCATCACCCCTTTGCCATCCCAGTTGTGGAGGCTAGAGGGTGCTACAGCTCAACATTAGTTCCATTTTGTTATTGGGCCTCCTCTTCCTCCTTCCTTACTGTAGGAATAGTGAGTATATGGGCATGCGTGCACGTGTGTGTGTGTGTGTGTGTGTGTGTGTGTGTGTGTG